ATTTTTTGCCTAAAATAGTTTTATAGTGTTAAAGGAATAACATGTTGGAAGCTTGCTCATCCCTTGACTCTTTTGCTAATACTTAATAAAACAGTTGTCTCCTAGATGTGAATGAACTGAATGGTAGAACCAAATAGTTGTAAAAATAAAATTTAAATGATAACAGGTGAAATTAAAGGAATAATTTAAATTCATGTTTGGTGCAAAATTTAGGTAAACCAATTTTAATTATAAGGCAGTACATTTTAGTTTATACATCTGTTCAAGATATCTCTATTGTTGAGATGTGTTTTAAAATATAAAGTTTTCTGGTTCTTTAAAACCCTAGACTTTTTGAAAGCTTGAAAAATTAAACATTGTGAAGAAGTTGATGACTTTCTTAAAGGAGTGCTAGCTTTCTCATTATGAAAAGTTGAGGATTTATAATAATTTTCTAAACTTAATTTAGAATATCACTTCTGGGTCATGTGACCAACATGATGGAGCCTAAACTTTTCTCTAGTCCTCATGACCTCCAAAAATAAATAGGAAACAAATTCCGAAATAAAAATAGGAAATATTCCCAAGAATATTCCCAAGCCTATGGGCAGCTTTCACACAGGATAGTGGGAGGACATGGACCCAGGGAGTCTGCCATATTGACCAGACTCTTGAGGCATCTGAGCATTTGTATTGCTAATGTAAGCAGGCCATGGAGACAAGGTGGATCTTATATGAGGAAAGACTATGGGAGGGATCTAGGAGTGGGCAAGTAGTTTGGGGTGACTGGAGGGTCTGGGAGTAGGGAGTCTAGGGAGGATCTTGAGGGGAGTGACTGGGAGGTGGATTAGGGTCTAGATAGGATCAAGGGTGGGAAGTGGCTGGGGGCCATCAGGAGGTAACAGACAGTAGAGGGCTAGGTTAGGTTAAGGGTAACAGAGAATTGGGAAATTGGATGTAGGCCATAATGAAAGGCCATTTGATAGGATTATAGCCTCAGGCAAATGCTAGAGACTTCTTTGACCAAGTGGGAGAGTTCTAGGAGAGTCCAAGGTGGGGTTTTCTTGGGCCCATACCCCATTATTCCCCCTTCAAACAAATAGGACCCAAATTCTTTTGGGGTGAGGGGTGAAGTTCTTAGCTTCTGAAACTGATTCCTCCTGACAGGGGACATAGAGCTGGCCCTGCCTCGAGGGGGTCCCAAAGAGGAGGCTGACTGAAACCAAGCACAGGCTGCATCCAGGGGAGGATGGGGTGACATTGGCTGGTACCTGCTGTTTGCTAAGAACTGTAGGTGAATGGCCTATAGTCTGGAAGACACAAATCTTACAGAAAAGACTGCAGGGCCCAGATATAGGCAGAAGTAAAAGTATAAGAGTTTCATTAAAATCGTTTATATTGCATGATTATCTGATCTTGTTACTTTTTCAAAAGTTTAAGTAACACTTTTGTAGGTAGAAGTTTTCCACCCCTGGGTTCAATAGTTACACAAGTGAATTTGCCAGAGACTGACTTTCACTTCAATTGTCACTGAAATTCTCCTCCACAAACCAAACTGAAGATGTTTCCAATTTAATTTCAGTTGTTTGGGAGTATTGAATGACTATATATTCAGGTCAAAACAGCAAGATCTCACACACTAACATTAATCTTTTACTGACTACTTACTCTGATTATAGAAATTTGCTATAAAAAAATAAAGCAGGGACTAGATTTAGGGCCCAAATATTACAGGATAAAACATCCTTAGCTCTGTTTGGATTCAAATAATTCAGTTTTCCAACCATGCAGTATCAAATCCGCCTCATAGCCAGAGTCAGGAATAGCCAGGTGGGTAACATTCCTTTTCAAAGGAACATAATGGGGAAACTGAGCCTGGAAGATCCCATCTTAGACTGAGGTTAAAATTGTCCTCTGAGCTTTTCCCAATGCAGATTTTCCACCAGAATCACACTCTTTCTGAGTAGCCTGCAGCACCTTTCTCAGAGATGGTGGATTACTGATTATTGATGAATTATTATGATACATCAGACAACTCTAAATAAAATCATTTATGGTCTCATTAACTTTTACCTCAAATGGCAAGTTTCACTAATCACAGCTTAGGAAAAACTTCCAGGATTTATATCTTAAATTTAAATTTGTCCTGGTGTGAAACAACAAAAACAAAACAAAACAAAACAGTCATTAGAGATTGTTTCTATATACTTGCAAATTCTCAGCAAACCATAACCCAAATAAGCTTTTTGGCAACTTTATATATTAAAACAATAACCAACAATAGCCAAATTGTTTTAGCTGTAACCAAGTTATGAAAAGTTGCTTGACATAACTGATGCAAAAAGTTTACCAATCTAAAACTTAAACCAATCAGGTAACTTTAGTTTTGTTAAATGCATTTCCAAATTACTTTACACAGAGAATCAACATCTCATCATTAACAGTTAAAACTACAACTTTAAAACAGTGTGCTTACCCAGATTTGGAGGCTAGCTTCTTTATCGTGACCCATTCCCCCTTCCTTCTCTCCCCACAGCAGCTGGGGGTTAATGTGGGAGTGAGGTGATCAGGATGTGCTGAACCTGGGTGATGCTTCCAGGCAAAAGTTGCCCCAGGGCCCAAGGCTATTGCCAGCCCACACTTTAGCTGCTGCCACTCCCCTCTCCTTACTTTTGCCAGGTGAGGAAGGGCAAATTCGAAGGTGAAGGGGGAAGGGTGAAACTCTCTTCTTCTATGAGAGGGGTTAACAAAGATACTCTCTTGATTCTAGGGAAGGGAGGGGAGAAGGGAGTGACCAGGGTTGTAAGGAGGTGTTTCAAAACTCTTTAATGATCGATCACAAAACTTCCAGAATCTGCTCAGATGTTTTTAAGCTGTTCTAACTTTTCCCTGTAGCCTCCATGAAGGAAGATTCAGGAGTGTAGAGGGAAGGGAGTAAGTAAGCCTCAGAGAACTAAAAAGTACCTACAGTTTTCCCAGTTCCCTGGCACTGAGAGAATTGACAGAATTGGACATACTCTTCCAGATAGGGCATCTGTCCTTGTCCTCTATGCTGTGGAAGGTGTACCCAGGTCCATGGCTTCAAACTGAACTGATGGATCCAGAGCCTGAGAGCCTTAGGCCAAGTGTGAGACAGCCTCATAACTGTCTGCCTGAAAAGCACTTCTGAGCCTTCCTAGGTGCTTGGAGAGCAACTCCAACTGCAGGGTGAAAAAGAGGGGGTAGAAGCTTACACCTTCCAGTCTTGGCTGGAGAAGAGCTTGGGGTTAGGCAGCTTCCTGGTTCGGGCTCCCAAAATGTTGAGGTTTAGAGGCTTAGGGGTGCTGGGACCCCAAAATCATGACACATAGGTCCTGCCTGAATGAATTTGACCCAAGCCTTCTTTCAGCCAAAGACAAGGTTTATTAAAGATCTGCCATATTGGTCAGACTCTTAAGGAATCTAAGCATTTGTATTAATGCAAGCAGGCCAGATCTTAAGAATCTGAGCCCAGGGAGTTTATTTTTAAAAAATTAAGAATGACCATGGCAAGGGAAAAGGTTAATAATCAACTACACAATAACTACAAAATGTATAGAATATTTGGGATAAACCTCCCAAAGAACACAAAATATTTGTATAGATTCAATTAGAAAGTCCTCAGTGAAATAAAGAATGATTTGAATAGCTGAAGGAATATTCAGTACTCATAGCTATACCATGCTAATATAATAAACATTATAATACTGCCAAAATTGACCTTTACTGTTTATGCTATATCATTCAAATTACCAAGGGGATACTTTACAGAACTTGATAAATATCAATATTTATTTGGAAAAACAAATGATCTAGAATATCAAGGGAAATGATAAAAGGTAGCAATCACCTAGAGCCATCTGGTATTGGTTAAAAATAGGTCAGTGGAATAGACTGGACAAGGAAAAATCAGAAACAATAGAATTCAGTTTTTGATAAAGTGAAAAACATAAATTATGTATGAAAACGCCCTTATTTGATAAAAACTGCTAGGAAAGCAGTCTGGCAGAAATCTAACACACCTTACATCACATTTTACAATACATTCCAAATTAATATTAAAGATCATAGTATACAAAAATTAGAAGAGAAACAGATCATAAACCTCTAGTGTTAGGATATGTATCCTTAGCCAAAGAAGAGATAGAGCAATTATAAAAGATAAAATAGATAACTTTTGTTACTTGTAATTGAAATGCTTCTACACAGATAAGTTTTATATATGTTGGGTAAGAAGGGAAGTAATCAAATACAGAGAGGTTTAGGAGGATGAAGATTGAGAAAATATTTGGTAATTTAGAGATCGTTAATAACTTGAGCCAAAGGGCTTGAATATCCCCTACTGGATATAGTCAATCACCCTTTGTTTAACTGATCATTAACTGCCTATGATTTGTGATTTAATAATTTTATTTTACTTTATTCCTCCAGAACTTAATATTTTAACTTTGTATTTGATAGAATCACTAGAACACTTCTTAGGAACCTTATCATTTATGCTGTTTCATAGGATTGTTGCTTTTTAAACTGATAGAATTGTCTTCATAATAAGGCAGCAGGTAACATTTCAGTAGCGTATGCCAAGGTTTTAGTTTTTTGTTCTGGCATAGTCGTGGAGAAGAAGAGGTGATCAGGGTCAACTCTTGCAAAGCAGGAACTGTAGCAGGTATGTATCTCATGGAAGAGAGTCAATACTCAAACAAAGTGGGCTGAGGAAGTGGATTAGTGCTCAGACCAGGTTGAGTGTTGTTTGATTTGCAGGGCATATATTGCCAAACCCTGTATATAGAGAGAGGCTCACCATTACCAACTTATTCTAGCGTGAAGTTCAATATAATGGAGGTTTAACTGGGGCATTACAGTTCAAGCTATTGGAAACAATAGAAAAGCGTCATTGGAACTTCTTTTTTATGTGTAACTTTGTGGGCTTGAAGTATGAATTTTAAATCATAGAAAGTCTCCAGTGGAGCTCAATTACAATGACATTTTCTTTCTGCATACAGGGTAAAAGCTGGATTGTGAAGCGAAGTTATGAAGATTTCCGAGTACTTGATAAACATCTCCATCTATGTATTTATGACAGACGCTTTTCCCAGCTCTCTGAACTTCCCCGTTCTGACACTTTGAAGGACAGTTCAGAGGTAAGCAGTCAGTGCTTCCAGGAATCAATCAAAAAAAAATTTTTTTAGCTGGCCAGCATCTTGGTCTCTATGCTAAATATTACCTGTCTTTTAACCTTCAGTTTGTATTTCTGAGATCACTTAACTATTTTATTATTGAAAAACAGGAGAAAAAATGAGGGCTTTCAGTATTAAAATGACATTAAAGTAAAATGTTATGCTAGACCTCCCTTCTTTCATTGCTGGAGTATATGTGTGTGGGGAGGGGTAGGTCTATGGGTATTGTGATTTATTGTCAGTGTATTTTTTTTTATTTTTGCTGAACTACTTTTTTATTATTCCTTTTAAATTTCTGGTCCAAGGTGTGTGTGGGGGCAGGGGGAGGTGGGTAGAGAGATGGGAGTTGCAAATGAATGCCGTGTATAAATAAGGCATTAATAAAAATAAGATAATTTTTCAAAGTGAAAAAAAGAGTTAAGAATCTTGATTCTTACTCAGTTTTGTATATTTAGTCCTTGGATTCTCTGAAGTTGATAAGGATGACACTGTGATATTCTTTTCCCCATAGAGCAAAGAACATTACTACTTGGACTTTTACCTGCATGCTTACTTTTTTACCATTTAATGAACTGTGTTAATTATTTATTTGAACTTTTTTTAGCTAACTTCCTCGCTATTCATATATCTGTTTACTTGTTTCTCTATCTATGCCATTCCTGCCTTCACAGTTTGCTATGTGTCTGTGTTTTAAATGCAAGAATAGAAAAACTAATCTGATATATAATTATAGGCTATTATAGTATCATTAAAGCATGGTTAATTAACTAAGATGAAGGCTCTGTATGTGAGACAAGTGTGACTTACAGTGGCAAACAGCATCCAAAACAAGGGAGTTACTGATCAAATAAAGCACTTTCACGTAACATTTTATAGTGGTCTTTATGTATAATGTGAATGTTACTCATATTACTCCTCCACTAAAGAGAAGCCTTCTGTTGGTACGGACATGGTAGTCATTCTGAAAGAGTGTGTAAGAATAAAATCTCAAACAAATTCTGCTCAGCTAGAAATGCTCAGAGTGTGGATTGGTGTAGGAATTTAGTGCTTCTCATCAAAGAATAACCTTAACTATGTTTCAAGATACTCTTCACCAAAAATCTTGGCCCCAGTTGAAGTAAACACTCAGCCATGACAGGAGTACTCTGAGTGATGAAGTCGTACATCCTTTGAAACAGTGAAATAGTCTTATGATGATGAATCATGTTGCTTATGCCACTCTCCCTTCTTTGAATGTTGGAATGCCTATAAATTCCTGATTCCAAAGCTATATATTACTGCCAATTATTTTACCATTTAGGAAAGAACTTTGTCTCAGGGTTATTCTGCTTGTTCTTTCCTTCAACAGTTGGTCACTCAGATGCTTGTGGCTTACCTGTCACGCCTCTCAGCCATTGCAGGGAACAAGATCAATTGTGGACCTGCTCTTACCTGGATGGAGGTAACTCTCTAAATATAGCCTCAACCTGGATCTTTTTTTCACTTAAAATTAAATATTTTTTAACTTAAGTCAATTTTTTTAAATGTAAGGATTAATGTTGAAAATTGTTTAGTTTCTGGAGAAGTAAAAATTTTGCTCAACTTTTTATTATGATTCAAAAAAATGATGTTTATTTGCAATGTCTTCCTATCATAGGTTTTCATATAGAAGTTTACAATTTTGATCTTTTTCTCTAATCTTCACTACACATAGAATGTACCATGTAGAACATTACCACCACGCATAGAATATTTCATAAAGTACTTTTGAAATGATATTTTTTTATGTGTCTAATATATGCCACTAATGCTAAGTGCTGGGGATAAAAGACAAAAGTAAAACAATTCCTGACCTGCAGTAGCTTTCATTCTAAGTGGAAGATGAGATGCACATGCATGAAGATTTAGAGAATCTATACAAAAGAAATGATGAGGAGGGGCTTCAGGTAGAAAGAGGCATTTGAGCTGAGTTTTGAAAGAAATCAGGGATTCTAAAAGGCAAGAATGAAATACATTCTATACCTGGGGGACAGGCAGTGGAGGAGAGGGAAAATAAAGAATTCTGTGTGTCAAACAACAAAAAAGCTAGTATGGTTAGACTATAGAGTATATGCAGGAGAGTGGTATATGAGAAAAGAACCGAAAGAGAGAAAGGAGGTAAGTTGTAAAGAGCTTTAAACGTCAAACAGAATAGTTTATATTTGATCCTAGGTGTAATAGGGGGCCAGTGGGTTTTATGGGGAGGGAATGAGAGGAGGAACATGGTTATTAGACTTCTGCTACAGGATGATCACTTTACTGTGTGGAGGATAGATTGGAGCAGGAAGATACTTGAAGCACAGACAGCAAATTGGAGTCTAGTAGAGTACTCTGGATGAGTGGTGATGAGGGCCTGACTGAGTCTGTGTAAGAGAAGAGGAGGGGATATGTTCAAGAGATGTTTTGGAGATGAAAATGACAATATTTGACCTCTCGTTAGATAAATGGGGTGCAAAACAATAAATAATTGGAGGTTGTGAACTTGGGTGACTGGAAGGATGCTGTTACTTTTGATACTAGTAAAGAAGTCAGGCTGGGTTAGGAGGAAGGCAATGATTTGTCCTTTGGACATGTTGTGAGTTTGATATACTTAAACAAGGATGTTAAAATATCCAGTAGGCTGTTGATGATGTTATACTCGAGCTCATAAGAGAGGCTAGGGATAGATGTAGATCTGAGATTTATTTTATGTGGGTGATGATTGAAGTAATGAGAGCTGCTGAGATCACCAAGAGAATGCAGAGAGAAAGTAGATAATGTGGGCAATTGTAAGTGTGGACATTTATGTGCTCATTTCAGGTAAATTCATTGAAATATCTACTTTATTCAACCGAAGGTATTCTAGCTTTTTTTTAAAATGCAAAATTTATTTCTATAATTAGCTTTATTTCCAAAAAAAGCAAGAAAAACAAAGAAAACGAAAAAAAATTGTGCTTCAATTTGCACTCAGTTCTCTCTCTGGATGTAGATAGTATTTTTTCATCATGGGTCCTTTGGAATTGTTTTGGATTATTGTATTGATGAGAATAGTTAAGTCTTTCGTACTTTATCATCCTTACAATATTGCTGTTACTTTGTACAGTTCTCCTAGTTCTGCTCACTTCATTTTTTGTCAGTTCATGTAAGACTTCCAAAGTTTGTAATTTCTTTCTGCCCCCCAGGGAAATTTTTTTTTTTTTTTTTTTTTAGGCAATTGGGGTTAAGTGACTTCCCAAGGTCACACAGCTAGTAAGTGCCAAGTGTTTGGTCTGAGGCCGGATTTGAACTCAGGTTGTCCTGACTTCAGGACCGGTGCTCTATCCACTGTGCCACCTAGCTGCCCCCTCAAAGTTTGTAATTTCTTATAGCACAATAGTATTCCATCCCCCTCATACCACAACTTGCTCAGCCATTCTCCAATTGATGGGTATCCCTTCCATTTCTAATTCTTTGCCACCAAAAAAAAGAGCTGTTATAAATATTTTTGTATGTAAAGGTCCTTTTCCTTTTCCTTTGATATTTTTGGAATACAGATTTAGTTGTGACATTTTGGGGTCAAAGGGTATGGAATGTTTTATACCCTTTTGGGCGTAGTTCCAATTTTTTCTCCAGAATGGTTGGACCAGTTCACAACTCTATCAGCAGTGTGTTAGTGTCCCTATTTTTCCACATCCTCTCCAGTATTTAGCATTTGTCTTTTTTATCATGTTAGCTAATCTGATAGATATGAAGTGGTACCTCAGAGTTGTTTTAATTTGCATTTCTCTAAGCAGTAGTGATTTAGAGAATTTTTTATGTCACTATAAATAGCTTTGATTTCTTCTTCTGAAAACTACTTGTTCATATCCTTTGAGCATTTACCAATTGGGGAATGGCTCTTATTTTTATAAATTTTGTTTAATTCCCTGTATATTTGAAAATGAGGCCTTTATCAGAGAAACTTGAGTTAAATTTTTTTTCCTTTAGTTTCCTGCTTGCCTAATTTTGGCTGCATTGGTTTTGTTTCTGCAAAACCTTTTTAATTTCATATAATTAAAATTATCCATTTTACTTCTTGTGATCCTTTCTATCTCATGTTTGGTCATAATTGATCTGACAAGTAAATTTTTCCAAGCTCCCTTAATTTATTTATAATATCACTCTTTCTGTCTAAGTCTTGTACCCATTTTGACCTTATCTTGGTAGATATTCCAACTCTTGCAGAATTTAAAGTTTGTCTTTCCATGTATACTTAATTTTTTCACCCCAATTTTCCTCAATTTCATACTGAAACTGTAGCTAATTTATGTCATTATTTCCAATTAGAATGGCAACTTTTTTTTTCTTTTTGGTTCAGTCCAGTTTATTTGTTTAGAGAATTCCTAGTTAGGAAATTACCTCTACCAGTGCAGATGGGGCAACTGTTCTGCAACGTAGAGCCTGAGAAATTAAGTAACTTCCTCAGGGTTACATAGCCAATAAGAGCCATAATTGACCGTAGTAAATTAGGAAGTAAAATTAATTGAAAAATAATTTTTTTTTCAATTCAGTAAACATTTATTTAGTCCCTGCTATGTGCTAGACACTGTATGCTAAACCCTCGGGATACAAGTAAGAAAAAGAAATACAATCTTTGCCCTCAAGGAGCTTAAAATCTAATGGAAGAAGGCAACACAGAAAAAGAAACTGGAAAGGGGGAGGCTACCAGAGGATAGCTGTCAAATGGCCATCTTCTTCTACAGAAATAGCTATCTTCTTCCCCACTAAGCCCCCCATGGTGTCCTTAATAAAAATTTTAAAAAATGACACATGCAATGCATAATTTCTTTCACTGGTATTTATTTAAATCATTAAACGTCCCCAAAACAAGCATTTCCATATACAGGTAGAACACAAAAAGAGGAATGAATATATATACATACATATATGTGCATATATACATATATATGAAACTGTCAATCTATATTTCATAATGCTTGCTTTAAAAAGAAACAGAACAAATTTTACACGTTACTTTCATAGCTGTACTATTTTTCTTTGCTTCCTTCTCTTCTGTTTAAAAAAATACTTTGGTGTCTCTTGGGGGAGAGGTAGCCTTATTGCTAAACTCTCCTTCCCCCTCCGCCTAATACAAACTAAGGTTGGCGGGGGGTAGGGTAGGGTGGGGTGGGGAAGTGGGGTCTTGGTTTTGGAGGTAGCTTTAAAACAGGCATGGGGAACCAAAAGGCAACATATGGCTTTCTAGATCCTTGGCTGTGGCATTTGGACCAAATCCAGGTTTTACAGAACAAATTCTTTTATTAAGGGAAATTGTTATGTGACCAGCAAGTACTCTGTTATTTCAGGTTCAATTCTGGGATTATATGAGGCACTTATAAGTCACTGGATATTTGACAGAAGATTTTCTTTGCCCTTCCACAGCAAGATTGTATAACAGGGATACAGTAGGACTTACCTTCTCTGGATATAGCCCTCTCTCATCTTCACCTGGAAACATTTCTGGTCACCAGGGAAAGGTATAGTGACTCACCTAATCCTCAGAAGTCTATCAGTTTGCAGATCCCTGACTGTCCATGGGTTGGACTTTTTATACCCTTCGGTAACCAGGAAGCTGTGCCAAGGAAACAGGGACCAATCAGATCTCCTTTTATGGCACATTAATCGCTACTGCAGGTGGAAAGGAGGAGGGGTTGGCCCAGCCATTGTTTTTAGGAAATATTGGTAGATGTTAGACCTTTCATATACCACACCTTGGCTACAGGGTGTCTGAGGGTATTCTAGAGATCCTTCTACCATTTAAATACTTGTAGAGTTTTTATTGAACAATCCTTCTGGCATAGCCATTACTAAGAGTAAAAAGGGAGAAAGAGAAGGGAAAAAAATCTACCATTATTACCACCAGCAATACACACACGAAAGAGAAAACAACAACAACAAAAAACCCTGGAATGTTTCCTTTTAGGGAAAACTAATCCCTGTTGCAGGAGATTTTTTTTTTTCCCTTTTCCTTTTTTCTCCTTTAATCTCCCCTTCAAGATCAAGAAGTTTGTTTGTGGGCTATTCTGTTCCTGGTCTTATCTTCCCACTTAACCACTCCTCTCCCTATCCCTGCTTGTTTTTGAGTCTGATGTATTGCTATACCAAACTACTTGGGCATATGTGATTTTTTTCAACACTTCTTTCACCATTTCATGTAAGTGAGGTTCATCCACCTGAATGTTTCCTTCCCTTACATCTTCCTGTATGTATATGCTCTTTTACAAATCAATTATAAGAAATAGCAAATTCTACTTTTTTCTTCCACCTTTCTACACTAATGTATTCTTCCTTTTACCTTCCCTTATTTTCCTCCTCTTTAAACCTTTAGAACAAAACTAAACTACCCTCAGGTGTTTTTCTGAGTTCACTTCCCCAATGGTTTTTGAAGACATTAAAGTTCTGAAGGAACATGTGTCTTCTGCCCCA